TTATTCCCTGGTTGAATCAGAAGATGATGAAATTAGAGAATCTCATAATTACTCATTTGTTTTATCCTATTATTACACACAAAACAGTGTCAGAATAATATGATTACTAAAAACAAAGATTTTTTTTCCCTCATATACTCTCTCATTTCTCTTTTCAAAAGTGACTGTGATGTTTTTCTTACACACTGGTACTGTATGTGGGTTCCAATTGCACCACTTCTTCACCACACTTGTTATTATCTGTCTTTTTGATTATAGCCATCCTGGAGGGGGTGAGGTAGTATCTCATTGTAGTATTGACTTGCATTTCCCTGATAGATAATGATGTTGAACATCTTTTCATGTGCTTATTGGCTATTTGTATATATTCTTTGGAAAATATCTTCATATTGTTTACCCATTTCAAAAATTGGATTACTTAGTTGTATGCATTGTTTATATATTCTGGATATAAGTCCATTATCAGATATATAATTTGCATATAACTTCTCCCATTGTGTAGGAATTAAGTTTTCAAACAGACATGTTTAGATTAGTGAGTAGCAAGACCAATATGTAAACTGTCTCATTGCATGCCCTTAGAAACCTTAATAAAATTGAAAATTAGTTGAATTAGTAATTATCTGTTTGTTTACTTATGAGGTCATTAGACTAGTAGTATTTAATACTTTCCCTATTTGCTGCTTAATGTTTTTTATCTCTGTGGTTAAACTGCCTCCATCAAAGGTCAAGTTATTTCCTAGGCTCATTTGCAATGAGACTGTCCATGAACATGGAAAATTTTTCAAGGCAAGAAGTCGCCTATTACCATGTCTTATATTGTTTTGCTGAGTGATTGGAACACCTCACCTAGGTGCTGACTTTTCTGCATAAGGTCATGAACAGCATCAGAGATTGCTTCGTGACTGGAAAGTGGGAAGACGATAAAGATGCAGCCAAGGTCTTAGCAGAAGATGGTAAGTAAAGAGCTACTTTCTTCAGGAGAACTGGTTTCTCTACACTTTATTTTCTTCTGTATCTTAGACAATAGTCAAGTTGAAAATAGTCATTTGTGAAATGCTTTTGGGAATTCAGACAGGAGTAATCAACCAGGTAATATTCTGGTTTTTCTTTTTATGGTGAACTTATTTTCTCCTGTTGGCTAACTGATTACCTATGGACCTGAAAGAAAAGTGAGGAACTTTCCATAAATTTTATCATGTGTTTGTTAAAATAGATTTTGTGTGATGTGAAAAATAAACACAAATAACATTTATATTTTTCTTTTGATGATAAAGGTAGCATGTGTTATGGAAAATTTAGAATGAAAAGTACATAACATACCAGAATTCTACCAACCCATAAAAAGACCTTTGCTAACTTCTTGAAGTACTTCTTTCTAGTCATTTAAAAGTCATGTGTGTAAACCTTTTTAGTTGTACTTTACATAAATTTTGGCAGGAGGATTGGTTAAGTGATGTACTTTATATAATTTTTGTCATTTGTTCAAA